CGATTTGCCAAATTAAAATCGAATATACTAGTTTTGCTAATTTTTTTTCTTCTCTAACTTGAATATCACACTATTCATGGATATCGGTTGATCTAATCTCGACAAAATTGCTCCAGTTGTTAAGAATTTTAGACAATGAAATATCCTTCCCGAAGAATTTCGAAACAAGTTTTGGAATATAACATTCTTGTTTTGTCTAAACAAAGTTCTCTTTAGATTTTATTAATTTTTCATATTTTTTGAAATGCATAACACTTTTTTACGTTTATATTTTTGATTGAACAATCTTATCTTATCTTCTTATCACTATGAATCGCTGATTCATATCAATTTGAACATATAATTAAATTTGAGAGCCTCTTCGATCTAAATGAAACTCGAGCAAAATTTTTCAGAAAATTATGATTTTGGCAATACTGTGACCAATCAAAGTGGTAAAAGACAACTTTATCATTTGTCATGCAACGAACAGGGGGTTTCCAAATTACAAACTAAAATCTTGTAGAAATTTAATGAATTAATTGATATTTTATCAAAAGGTAACGATAAAGTTATCTTAAAGTGTTATATAGAGGATGACTGCTGGCTGTACCGCTGTCGCCAGTAAATTTTATTTTTTTTTAAAGAGCCTTCACCATTACTGGTAGACTCACTCCGCTGACTTGCAATAGAGAAATGTGTCAAGAAATATCTTAGCGATAGAAATACATGTAAGTCGCCAGCATTGGTTAGATTTTTGGAACAGATTTACTCCTGTGGGAAATAAAACCCCAGCCCTAGTGCCCCGAAATGAGCAACCTTCTAATCCATTCTTTCCAATAAACTTAATAGAGTTGAATTAATCCAAAGTATTATAAGTATTATATATCTATTAGAAGAAGTAGCATAGCATAGAAGAAGTAGCATATTGATATATTCTGATTAAGTTATCATTTCTTATTACAAATACACTCGCAGTTATTTAAGGGAAAAGCAAATTCAAATCTCTCTTACTTTATGGCAATGTTACCATTATTTAATCATTCAGAGCGTTTTTTATTGACAATTTGTTTCATTGAAAAAATTGTTTTCTTTTCCTTCTCAATCAAATAAATCAAAGAATGGAACTCTGTTTTAAAAGAATTAAAACTAGTACGTGATTATAGTCAATGGTCAAATCCACTAAACTATTCTTTTTTTTACACCAATTATTTAGGATATCAATTGAATTGTCGTTATAATTTTCTTTTTTTTTTGCGTTTTTCGTATTCATTTTTATTATCTTAACTACCAACATTCTTTGTAAATAAGATTTATGTTAAATGGTTCATTTCATTTCCTGAAAACCTATTTTTTCTTAGTTTCATTGGATTTAGTAAGAAAACATATTACAAAAATGCCATTTCCATAATTGGCACATTAAATTTCTGAATAACTGAAGAAAAATTTGGAGAAAATAACGATTTTTTGAAAAACACTTCTTTCATGATCTTTTAATAATATGTAATATGCAGCAAGTAATTCTAATATTAAGGAGAAAAATATAAATAAATATAAAAAATAAAAATAAAAAAATAAAAATATCGGATTAGAATAATCGATGGACCTATCGTCGAATTTATTTAAATTTTCCTGCAAGGCAAATGACGAAATTCTTAAAATCATATCAATCTTTGTCGAGTTATAATGAATAATGAAAAATTTTTACATGAATCTACAAAGATAATTATAGTTTAAAATATATTAAAATATATTCAAACAGTGCTCGTTTTTTATTTGGCTAATTCCTCTAATTAATTCTTTCACTAGAGGGTCATTTAGTGAAAATTACAAGTGAGCCAATCGCATTTCACTTTCATTGCCATATAATCCCAGATAATTCCGATAATCGGATTCATGATGCTTTCCAGCAAGATAGAGCTCAACCAAACTACCACATTAACAAAATTCTGGCCATTGCAGATGAATAATGTTCGATTACTAAAATTTTTCTTCTTCTTTAGTGGATTATAGAATCAGTATTTATATATGAGAAGTATTTATTCACTGAAACCGCTTCAATAGCCTTATTCTTCATAGAACTAATTAACCACTTGTATATATTGTTATGAAATGGCGATTCCGTTTCATCTAATTAATATGGTCAAACTTCCTTTCTAATCACCATAAAACCAGGCTGTTATAGATATTTTTTCTGATAATCATTTTACAAATTATTTTGTATAATAAGTGCATAATAACTGATTAAAGCAATGTGCAGTAATGAGCAGAGTCTTTATCAGAGTCCTTCTTTATTTATATATTGTATAGCGCTGAAATGTGTTTCTGATAAAAGATAAAGCGATTACTGAAAGTACTGAAAATTTGAAAGATTGGTTGTAAGAATCAAGATTTGAGCATCCTATAGAATAAAAGGTCGCTTTTAAGATAAAATAGCAAAAAAAGCAAAAATAAACCACAAATCATTAATGCTATTTGGATTCCTTCAGCTATTATCCCAACTATATTTCAGTAATATTTACTTAACTTTTAAAATTTATTGTATAAATCAGATTTTTTTTAATAAATCTACTTATTATTGATGGATATTGTGAAATAATAAAGTGAAATAATTGTTAGAAATTCGACAATTGAAATTAAATCAGTTATCAATTAAATAATAATGTGTAGCTGATAAGATGATTAAAGCTGATAAAAAATTCTTGATACTTTTGCATTAAGCGATCTAACTAATTAGAGTTGGCAGAAACATGCATAAAGCCTGCCAGCATATTTGTCATTTAGCATGCGTATTTTACTTATCGCTAAAGAAATGTTTGTGAAATTGACACTTATTTAGTAATAATTTTACATTAATTTACATAATAACATTAATTTTTTTTGTTGTTTTAATAATATTGTTTGCATACCTCAAATCAAGGCTTGAAAATGGGTCGGAAAAAAATTTTTGCCGTCCAAATTTGTTTTTTTCCTGCTTCTTTCTAAGAATGCTCAACATTTTTGGCCAGATATGCTGGTTTAATTTGTCCAGAAAAAATTTTTCAAGGAGTCCCTTAGCGATAGAAATATAGGTGAGTCACCATTACTCGCATTTTTGAAAGACAGGTTCACTCCTACCGGCAGTAGGACTGCTTTTTAAATTTTGCTTGCTCATTTCTCTTAAAATTTTAAAATAAATGTGGAAATTTTTAAATTTGAATATTTTAATGAAATTTCTAAATGAAGAAATTCGTTTTATAAAAGAAATGCTGATTGCATAACGATAATGATAAACTTGTTTGCATTTTATTCTTCCGAGCATTTATAGCTCGTTTATAGATCTTCGAAATTATTTAATCACCATCAAGATTGCCGTTGAATTCAAATAACCTCGATTGCTCCTCGATTTGCATTTTATCAATTTTCTTTTAGTGCACCAATTTTGAATCATATGAATTATGCTAGAAAAATCTATTTCCAGTGATTTCAACCGTATAGATTATGGTCGACATTCGGAATTCAGTTCTAATTTTAATATTTAAATTGCCAGAATTCGAGAGCTACATTTTTACGTTTAGTTATTTTTAAAGTTTTAGCATGAATAAACCACGTAAATAGCTATGAATCCCTCGATGCAGCACCGTTTAATTGACATAGACGACAATAATAGGATTCTATATTATATCCAAATATTTTTCATAATTGCTCCTTTGCAGCAAACAAACCTTAAATTATAGGTTTCCATAATTTATACTATCTTCGAGTTTCTTAATCATAACCATCGTTTATAGTGGGGATTATCAACGAGCTTCTAAAATTTATTTTTACAAACTGTTTTCTCATTTTTCTTTCTTATAAACCAAATAGGTTAATCGCCGACGAATGTGGAATAACATGGATCAAGTGCGGTACAAAGACTTGTTTGTGAAAAGAAAATTCTACTTTTTCTTCATCTTATTCTTCATTACCAGAAATAATTTTCATCGCTATCATATAACAACGTTTTTATTTTCTATTACGACATTTTCAACTTTCTTTTTTTAAATAGATTCTTTTTTTTACTTAAACCTGTCATCTAATAATTCATTTATAATCATTTGAAAAACATCGGTTACCTACGAAAGAAAATATTCAACGCAAAATTTCTTAACACGAAGTCGGTTATTTACTTTTACAATCTTTTACTTTTAATTTTAATAGTAAATAAAAGTTTCTCGAATAGCAGTGAAATTTTTTGAAAAAATCTTTTACGAATATTTTTTTTTTCAAAAATGGTTCGCTTCGCTTGGCAGGCGAATTTCGTCAGGTAATTTTCATTTCATTTGGTGATAGAAGTTTAGGCGAATCACTCGGATTTTTGCAAGATTTTACCTTTGTTGAGAGTAGAACTACAATAACTCCAATATCGGCGCTTCAAAATGAGAGCAGCTGAGTTATTCTATTATCCGTGAATAACTATTCCTTAATTTTTGTAAAGGCGTGATTTCATGTGTGCTTACCAAATAATGTAACAGTATATATCTAATTAATGACGATGAAAATTTTTATTTGCTATTTTTAAAAATGAAATTTTTGCTGGAGAATAAGGATCAAGTGGGAACAAGTGACTGCTGCCCAGTTTTCGCTTTTAATGACAGAATCCATATTCATCCTGAGGCGGCCAAAAGACAGGATTCCTCGAGAAAACGAATCATGCTGCTCGCTATAATGCTTTGAAATCTTTGCATGCTTTGAAATGCTTTGAAATCATTAGAAATATAATTCTTTTATCCAAAATATATTCGAATTATCAGGTTGCTAAATTACTGACAAATTACGGTTACGATATCTTTTTAAAAAACTATGCGGTTAAAATAGCCACAAAACCGGCAAAGTCTGGCAAATATTTAGTATTCGAGAAAAATGAAATTTATATTACCGTTATAAATGCCAAGTTTCCTTTGTTTATCAAATTATTTCTAAAAAATTATTTTTAGGATTCAATTGAAGCTGCCCATAACGATAGTTTTTAAGTATTATACAACTGACATCTACAGATTCTCATGTTTTGGGGCATTATTTTGCTTACCTTGTCGCTAAATTTATTTGCCAAATGCCAGACGAACATCAGTCAAACAGAGCGGTATTTTTAAAAGTTATTATGGGCATTAATATTGATAAATTGCGATTAATGTAAATGTTTGAAATTTTTATCCGAGATTCTTAATTTAATTTCTCAAATTTCAGTCAGTTAACTTTGGCAGCTTCATTTCATGAAAATAAAGTAGACGCTGATGAGCCAACAATCGTTAGTAAGTGTGCTAATTAGCTATTATTATAGTCGTAAAGACGTCTTTATTCGAACAAAAGAAAATTCTATGGTCTGAAATTTCATCATTACTGATTTCAGCGCTAGGACCACCACGAAATGGAATTCAAAGAGCTTTAATTGATGAAGTCCCTTACAGTAATGCAGAACTTCAACCAAGTAAGTTAGTAAATTCACTCAAATTTCTTTTGCTAGATGCACAAAACGCCTTGGTGCAAGTGAAACAAAAGCTGAAGCTAAAAACTTTCATAGTTTTTTGGTCAATTTTTTGCCATATTTGATTTAATTGGCTCCATTTCCATTTCGCCAGCGATTCTTTTCAAGATAAATAATCAGAATTTTAATAATTTAATAATTCTGATGCTACATTCTTAAATCAAATGAATGCAAATGTGAACATGCAAATGCATTAGAAAAATTTGATCACACTGTTGAACAGTTTTTTATTTTCTCCTAAAGTCAGTTCATTTTGTTGGTATAAAAAATTATTTCAGTCTTTTCACTTTCAGTTGACGAAAATCATCGTGAAATTGCTGCATATGATGACAATTTCGTTGATCCAATACGAGGTTTCATTTTACGCTAATAAATCACTTTGAGGTTTCATTAAAATAAATTTTTTTTAATATTTCTATTTTATTTATTCGTCAAAAAAATTATTTTACAGAAGATCCTTTAATCATTCCGCGATTATATCGTAATGAAACAACTACAAAAACGATAAGTCGAATAACGACATCTCGATCATTCGTATCAACTTCAAGCCCAAGTCTACTCCAACTCCAAGTCTTGTGAGCTAATTTATCTAGTTAACATCAAGAATGACAAATTGCCAGTTCACATATAAAGAGGCAATTCGCGTACAATTAACAACTGCTTGAACAGTTGTTTCATATAAAACATTTATGATGAAACACAAAGAAACAAATTGGTTAAAATTGGTTTATCTAAGTTGAGAAATGTCTAAAGGTCTTGTTTATTGGTTTTATTGGTTCGTAATTTCTTATTTACAATTGTCTGTTTTAGATCGAACAGCGATCAACTTCCGCGGCAGCAGGTTCCCACGCAGGTCTCTGTTTTAAGTAAAATAAAATCAGATCAAATTATTTTGGTGACACGCTTCCATAAATAGTTTTCGACTATGCCCTTAGGCTAAAATAGGTGTTTATAATAGTGACACTATTATGCACATCGAAACCGGTACTTCTATTATTGGAACTGCGATTTCTCGCTTTATTTGCGTTTTAAGCTTAAATACACAGTTTCTTACTTCAATAATCAATCGCTATTATTATTTTACCATTATTCTTGTTATTATCAATCACTATTATAATAATTATTAATGATAACAATTATCATTATTTGTCACTACTGTCACACTTGCTATTTTTATCACTTAGTATTATCACTACTCTCATATTAATATGATTATCACTATTATTATTACTTTTATTATTGTCGTCATTAATAGAGATTGTTTAATTTAACTGAGCTAAATATTCAAAAATTTATCTGAATATATGACACCAAATAAGAAATAGAAAGAAATATAAAGCATATTTTTATAAGAAAAAAATCAAAAGGCACAGGAATTAAGTCTTCAAAAATTTTGATCGGAAATTTTTGATCGGAAATTCACTAAAAGTTAAAATTTTTTGACTATCTACTCAATCATTTTATTTTAAATAACCTCAAAAAAAGATATTGGCAATATTTCTTTTCTTTATTCTTTATTAAAACTATTCAAAACTAGTTAAAAAATAGAATAAATTAATAATAAGCAAGAAAAAACGTATCGTTAAAAAAATAAACATTTTTCTTAAGAATAACTTTCTATAAGTCACGAAAATATAAATTTAAAAGAATCAATTATAATAATAGTTATAATAATAATTTTAATAATACTATTAAATGATAAATTGATAGCAATAAAGAATAATAATAATGGTAATAACAAGAATTAGAGAATAAAATATAAAAAATAATAGCAATAAAAAAATAATAATAATTAATAGTAATGGTTGTTCACGAAGAAATTGGCACATTTTTAAATAAATTAGTTATACTAATCCTACAAGTTTGAAAAAGTTTTTAGGCAAGAACACTACAAATTCCAGAATCATCTCGTCATATAGTTCAACAATCTGTCGCTGCTTCAACTCCACCTCCAATCATTCATGATCGTCAATCAAGCATTGCCTCTAGGTAATGATAATTTGCGATTTTCGATAAGCTTTTGAATAATGACCTATTAGATTAACTATGTAATATGGTATATGGCTTGTTGATTATTTGGTGTGATGGTGGCTTAGTGGAAGATAACCATCAAGAATGGAAAATTCTCGGCATCAAATCCGAGCGCAACAAGCTTCGCCAGGCGACAATGTCGTCGAAGAGTGAGAGTAAAAGGGAGGATAGTAGTCAATACATTGTTTCTCGGTTCAAACACATATGCTAAGGTCTATGTTAGAGATAAATCCTTGCTTCAAAAATTTGAATGTTGGTGGCGATTCATCTGCAACAATCGACGAAGAGACAAAATTTGTCTGGTCGGTAACAATACTCTGGTGAAAAAACTCACTTTGTCGCAATTTCATTTATCGTAGAAAATCAATAGAACTAAGCCATAAATATATAAATAAATAAATTAATTAATAAATATTACGCACTTTCTATTTGAAGAAGAAGAAGAAAAGGAAAATTAAGAAATAAGCAAAATTATTAATTAACTTAAATTATTAAAAATTAGTAAGCAATGGTGATTTGGTGCAAATCAATCGATGATAGCTTCTTCCTATTAGAAATTTTCAGTTGCAAGTGCGGTTTTAGAATAGAATTCGGAATACAAAGATTTTAGTAGAAAGATTTTAGTCCAGTACAAGAGTTAACATATATTTCCTTACTTGCTAAACCATGTGATAGGTGGCGTCAAAAGCGAAATGAACCAATCAAGATCTCGACTGATACAACCAGGAAAGATTTCTAGGGAAGATTTCCAGCAATATATGGACCTAGACGATGGAAAAAAGAATGACTTCTATTAGTGTCAATGATGGCATCAAATCGTACAGTTTGGAGACTCACTCTTACCCTTGTAGCCAGTGGAGTCAACCTAAGCAGTAATGGTGAGAGTTGTTAAAAGAAGAGGAACAAAAAAAATGGCAAAAGAGCATAGTAAAATTTAGATAGGGTTCAATGAAAATAACAAGTTAGCGGAGATTAAGATGATATTTAACGGAATTCGAGTAAGGCATAGCCAGATTTGAGGCCATGTTGCATTCTTCTTAATCCTCATTCCCCTTCTTTCCCATTTGCATTTCCATTTTCGATCATCAGAGCCATCACCAACTTATTCCTTAATTTTTGTTTTTGAACAAAATTTTAAAAGTTCTTGATAAAAGGTATTCATTCAAATTTGAAAAAGATTGCAATTTAAACAAGTTTTTAATACAGTCGCTTAAATAGCTTTTTTAGAATACCGACAGTTGAACTACCAACTATTATAGCCACAACGATATTACCAGTAAGAAAAGAAAGGCCACAGCCAAGGCCAGCTCAAAGCTTACTTCCAAGGCGGCCGGTAAAATTATCTCAAGCATATCATAATCATTTCTGAAAAAGCTTTCCTGAATCATTGCTTTTTGGCAATTTTATTAAGATATTATGAATCTTCATATGGAAATTTTAAATATTATTTACCTTGTGCTATCATTTTTTTATAAAGAATAATTTCTCAAATGATAGCTTAACGAATGTAATTCATCACACTCATTATATTTGCATATTATATATATATATATATATAGATAGATAGATAGATAGATAAGTCCAGTCCATAATGAGAATCTATTTAGCCAAGCCTTATTAGACCTCGTCCACAACCTCCAAGAGAACCACCGCGGATTAATCTGCCAACAATTACGAGACGATTTTCAACACAACCACCTCCTGCTCAAAATCTTCGAACTGGAGGTAATTTGCACCTTTTTATCCAAGCAACTCGTCTTAATGCTATCATATCAAGCTTAGGTACATTAAATTGCATACGTATATTCTGTTAGAAGATATTTAACCATTTTTAAAATTCTATTAGGTGATTATTTTTGAATGATGTTTAAATTTATGATAGTAATGAAGAATGTTTATAGAATGTCGAGCATCGATTTTCTACATATCTGCGCCTGTGCAAAATACTATCGCAAGGTCAAGATTCACGCATTATGCGATAACTATATCCGTTGATCAGTGTGCTAGGACTTGCCATGAATTCAATTGTGCAGTAAGATTCAACTAAACATTTATAAAGGAATATTGAGAAATTGATGGAATAAAGAATCGTTCCAGCAGAATCTAGAAAAATTAATACTGACGAAATGTTTTAAATATTTGGCTAAGCACTAATTTTTAGTTTTCTAATCGAAATTATTGTTCTTCTTTCGCCTTTCAACTAAATGTACGAAAATTTAGGTGGCTCATTACAGCCCGACAACTGGTAATTGCCAGTTCATTCCATCGACAGCTTTTGCTGTACAAGAAGGCCAGTGTCCTCGTTGGCCACATTCTTACTATAGGTATGAGCCAAGCATAATTTTTTCGCCATTAGTTTATTTAAAAAACAGTAGATTTTTTGAATAATATAATTAATAAATAAGGCTCTTACGCTGTTATATATATTATAATATACATTTTTTCTTAATAAAATTTTCTTAACAAAAATATAGTTTCTTTTAGGAAAAAAATATGGAGTATTATGCCATTGATATACTGGTGAACAGTCCATCCAACTCTAAATCGCACACTTCAGTTTAGCATAACTTTATTAAATAAAAGGATTTTTTTATGCGTTGACTTGGAGTCTGGAGAATCAAATCTGGACTGACCGTAAGGAAGGATTCTGGAGATATAGGTGGATCAGCGGTATATGAACTTAGACGGTAGAAAAGGGATACAGTCGAACGGCTTAGAAACTGTTACCTTTGTACCAAGTGGAGCCAACCTAACCAGTAATGATGAGAGTTAGAAGAAAACGGAAAGTGTAGCATCGAAAAAAAAATTCACCTTTTTTCAGAAACAATATAAGAAGTAATCAGCAATTGCACATCTTTTGTATTCAGTGCCATCGTCCATGTATGTGCTATAACTATTGTATTATATTTATTATTCTATTTCATTTCTAGTAATTTAGCGAATAATTTTTGCCCGACGAAATCCACCAGGGTCCATTTATTTATTATTCTATTTCATTTTTAGTAATTTAGCGAATAATTTTAGTCCGACGAAATCCACCACGCAATCGAGCAAATCGCTTCCGCACACATATTCTTAGAACTCATTTCACTGGCCGGTGAATTTTAATGGTTCTTTGTATTTTTTAATTAGTAGAGTAATAGAAACCGAAAATAGTTCGCATTTTCCTTTTCCTTTCCTTTTTTCTTATCCTTCTTCTTCATTCCTCCTTTTTAATTCTCCCAAAATCACACTATTGCTCCACTAATGACCTATTTTATTATATTCCATATTCATCCATTATACAATATCTCTCAAATATTTTTTTCATTATATAACTTTTTGTACCAGTAATTAAGAATCATTGCGGTTCCACTTAATATGAAAGTAGATATTTGCAATGATTATTAGGATTATTAGTAAAATCTATTCGTTAATTAGCGGCGTAATCAATTTTATCTCTTCGATTTAGCTTATCTAGAAATGACGACCGGAATTTTTATGGTCCGAGAGTGCCACTGGATTCATTTACTGTAAGTTCGCTTGGTGTCAAAACTTCGAACACTCAAGATGCAAAGAATGTTACGAATGCTACTGAACTTGATAAAACAAATTCAATGCTTGTTTCAATGAATGTTGCAGGGTAAATTTTTCAATGTTAATACTTATAAATGAAATTTTTCATTATTGTCACTGATGAGGAAAAAAAAATGAAAACCTTAATTCTAAATGGCAATTTCCAATATTTGAATTTGAATTCGACCGATCATAATTATTTTCAGATTTAATAAATTAGATTATTATAGATTAGATAGATTATTGGTAAATATTAAAAAATTCAAAAATATTTTTGGAGGTTTCTATGGGCATAAAATGCCAGAAATTTTCTATTCCTTAGTTATTAAATTTCAGCATAAAGAAAGAAGATGAAAAAGAAAACCAAGGAGCCAAAGCGGTGGTAAATTTCTTGTTTTGAAATAATTTTGGAATAGGAATAGAAATTGCAAATTTCATGCAAAATAAAATTTTTTAGGACACCTCAGATAATAAACCACTTCGAATACTTACCCGAGGATCTGGAAGATCTTCAACTAACCTCGACGCATTAAAATGGCACTCTACAATAGATACAAAGACACTGAACGAATTCCAGTAGTGAATTATGAATATAATTTATGACAAGAGTGGTGACACTTTTAAAATGCTAAAAGATAGTCAAGTGTTTTTTGGTAACTAGTCTTAAATTATTTTGACTTCGATAATAAAACCTATTTCATACTTTTTTTAAGCCTATTTTTTCAACTATTTTTTCATTTATTAATTATTTTTGAGGTTCTTCGAGATATAAGCAAGTCCGAGATCCTCCGGAGAATAGGCAAACTTGAGATTCTTTGGAATATAGGAATTATTCTTTAAAAAAAATAAGCTGTTTTTTAAAAAATTTATGTTTTTTTCGTAAATCTGTGAAAAAATTAGTTCAAACTCTATGAACCATTAAAAATTATGTTTATTGTAATTGTTAGTGATTTAAAAAAAATAAAATTGTTAATTATAAGAGAGATCTGTTATAAAATAAATGCAGAAATTAGATAAATGTAATAGGAAGCCTTTTGAAATATTAAACAATATTAAATAATCGAAAAATTAGAAAAATTAGAAAAAAAAGAGTTATGTTAGAATATAGAATATGAATATTTATTATTTATTAGTATTGCATTAAATTAGCCAGTTAATTTTTTAGTTTTGTTTCATTTGTTTCTTTAGGCGTATAAAAAAAGAAATGGATAAATATTTCGTATTTTGTATTTAAAAAATAGACAGTATAAACACAAATATTAAAGCAAACTGTTCATGAACTGTTCATTATAGATAAACAAAATATTATCACTTATTGTTTGCTAATATAAATACGAATGCACGATTAGTTCTGATTGATTGCTACTGATTATTACTGATTATTGATTACAGGGATTCCTACAATATACAATAAAGCATTAATTCCCTAGAAAATTTTTCGACAAAAAATTAAAAAATAATATTGGATGATGTTTTTTAAATTGCTTCATTTATGCGTAAATAAGCATTATAAGAGAATTCATATTTTTGTTGAAAGAAATTCATTTGAAAATTTGGAAAAAAATAAAATATTTCGTCTAATTCAAAAATATGAAAAAACTAAAAATATTTTAGGTTTAATGGCTTCGATAGACTAATTTTTAAAATAATTTTACAAAAATTTTATTTCTAAAAAGTTTAGTTAATTTTGGAATTTCCTTCACAACAGATTTTTCAGCAGATAATCTGACATAAAATTAAGTTTTTCATTAATATGATGAAGACAATAGAGAAAATTTACTTATTTAAAATTTAATTACTTAATTATTCAATAAAAATAGTTTGGATGATTTGCGGTTTAAAAGTGTTTCTTTAAATAGCTCTCCAACGAAAATTCCTAAAGGTCCAACGTAAACAATCAAATCAAATATGGTGAATTTTCCATTGAGAACGAATGGCGTTTTACAAGTAATAAAAGTAAATAATAAAAAATAAAAAATATATATTGTTTTATTCATTAATCCGTCATTCTGTCATTTTATTTGTAATCATTGAATTCAATCGAATTTTGATATTCATTTTTTTTTGAGAGTGGAGTGTTCACCAGACTGCTGATTAGATTCTCTCCACTGGTTTGTCGGTTCAGACAAATTTTGCCAGGAAATCACTTGGTGATGAAAATTTGCTGGCAATCAAAATTGTAATGATTTTTGGCTATTTTAAAGTAGAAAAAAAAATCTAAAATTTTAAGTTCAAATAATTTCAAAGCTTAAAAATTACCTAAAATTTTATAAATGCAATTAATAAATGTATTGATAAGAATATTCATTTAGTTAGCATAAATTTTCTTTGTAATTTTGCCCAAAAATTCACTTCATTTCGTCGAATCGAAACGACTTTGTGACGAAATATTTTCTAAATCACTCAAAATCATTCTAATAAAAAATTTTTGCAGAAAATTTATGCTAAGAAAGTTAAATTCTCCAATAAATATTGTATAAATATTAGTCGAATATTTAAAAAAATTGTAATTTTTAAAATAATTTTTAAAAAAGTGTGAACCATTTTAAAAAATTTTTGCAATTTTATTGAAAGCGAATCATTATAAATTAAACTGAATTTAAATTTAAGAATATATTTAATTAAAATGCCATCAATAAAAGCTTACTGAATTAGTAATAATTACAATTAGTAATAATAATTAATTGTTAATCATAGTTCGCAATTTCTTATAAGAATTAAGCTAGAAAAAAGGTGATAAAAAAACAAAAATTGCTGAAAATGAATTGCTTATGGAAATATGTTTAATTGTTTAACTAAGATTATTTATCAAACAAAATCGGAGGAATTATCGAAATATTATTACAAAATTTGATCGAATAAGCAATCAAAAAATACGAATACTTCGACGATAATTTTGCAGAATCGTATAATTTTTATTATTTTTGTTTTAGTAAATATGATTAATTTAGTTTTCAGTACAATTCATTATTTTATTATATTTGTAATAATTTAGAAAGGAAGAAAGGCAAATTGTTCTATTGTGAATGGCCTTTTTTGCCATTTCGCAATTGTCGGTTTGACTTGTAAATAAAATTAAGACAGAAAAATTTGCTTTATTATTTACAATTTTTTTAAAACAACAAGTAAAATTTTTAAAAGCAAACCACTCAATAAATAAATAATTTAATTAATGATTGTCGTGCAATCAACCAATAATAATAAAATTGTTGTGCAAACGTCGATTGTCGATTTTCCTAGAAAAAAAATTTCTGTTAAAAATAATAATAGCACTTTCGAGTTTTCTGGAAAATGAAATGATTCTTTAATCCATTTATTTAAAGGAAATCTTTAGATTTTACAACAATTTTTTATTATATATTTTCTTCCAAATTATATATAATTTTTGCAAACAATAGCGATTATATTTTAAATTTTATCAAATTATTCCTGCGTAAATTTTCCACTGAATGATTTTTTATGAGTGATTGAATTTTTTTTGGTTAAGACGAACAGCATTGGTTCGATGTCTTTGATCGGTCTCCATGATTTCTCTGGTAACTTAAGGGTAATCTAATTATCAGCCTAGTGATATCGGTTAAAATAGAATAGTGGTCGTTATCAAAAGAAGATCCTGATGCTGAAGTTGATTTTCAAAAAATGCTCATGTGACGAAACTGATTAACCACTAGAAATCTGAATTTTTTCAACATTTCGATACGATTTAATTATCTTTTCTTTACCAAAATAGAGAATAAATTAAAGTAAAAATGAAAGAAAATTTTTTGTATTACTTGGCCAATAAGTATAAAGATGTTGAAATTGCTTTCCAGCTATTTTGGATATTGTAATTTTTAATTTTATCGGAATTTACAGTAGGTATATGCAGTCATACTTTCTTTTTTTTGCTGAGAACGCCATGCAAAAGATTTTTCTATTATTCCATTTTTGAAAATATTTAGTGTTTAATTTATTAGCTTAATGCCGAACATTAAATCTGACTCGTCTTTACGACAAATTTCACGGGGCTGTCTGTGTTATTGCTTTCAATCGTTCCATCATCCATCGCGATATTGAATTGCATTAAGCGTTTAGCAACTGAGAAAGTCATCTTATGTTGATGTAAACCATTCTCACCATTTACTCTGAAAATCATCTCTTCATTCATTTCTTGATAAAACTCTCTATTCTTTTCATTTAGATTTAGATTTTTAGATTTTAGATTTTTTCTCCTAAATTTACCTATAAAATAAAACAACTTTTTTGCTAGTGATACGTTATATTGATAATTATATTAATTCACCATAATTATATTAATTCATTCTAAAATAATATCAAATTTATTTCAACTGGAAGCAAATCAGTCAGAATCAAATGGTTCTCTGGCAAATTTCTCCATTTATTCAGTAGAAGTGGCGAAATCATAAGGATTGCGTATACTGGAGGAAGAGGAAAAATAAGTTCGGCGGCAATATGGCCATCCATGAATTTGAAACATTACTGGTGCTGATCTCGTTTTAATGTATTAAATTTGGATTTTATGCGATATGAAAACAAATCATTGTATTGGCAGACTTTTTTTGCCAACTGCACAGTGTTTCCAATATGGCCAAACGAATTTCCATATTACATGAAATATAGACCAATAAACGAGTCGCGCAAGTAAATACGTAAAGTACTGAGATTATATCCGTACAAATCTCGTAAATCTTAAAGAATTTAAAATTTTAGTCCTTGGCTTTATTTCTGAATAAGTTTAACTGTAAGGTTTACACGTAAATAACACATTTAAAAGTAAAATGAATTTTTTCCTCCTATTTCGCAATAATGACTTGTTTATAATATGCTATATGATAATGAAGCCTATTATTAGAAGTATGAAATTCGAATGATTACTAACCAACGAAATTAATAAATCTCAGGAAAATGGAATTGTGGTACCACATCACTAATACGCCTTTGGAACCATTTATAATAGATTTATTATTATTATTAATTGCTATATTAATTATAAGTATTGTTATTACGATAATATAAATATTAATATAAAATTTACTTTAAATTTTTTATGGAAAATAGATTTTTAAGATTTTTAAGTAGATTTTTAAGATTTTTTAACTTTACCCAAAATGCTTCTTCAGTTTGGGCAGATTGAAAATCTAAATATTCCCATGCAGTTATAAAAACATTTAAAACATTCGCCATTAAATATGAGCACACAATAAGAACTGTTAACCTTGTCGCAGAACGAATTTTTTTCTGCAAATCGCTCACTTAATAATTTATAGTTTTATAGTTTTCATTCAAATTATGAGTGATATTATGAGTTAAAATAGCAATGGCTTTGATCAAATAATCTTGATCAACGTTTAATTTAATAATAATTATTGATAAACTTTAGAAATAATATGAAAAAAAATTTTATGAAGCTTGCCTTGTGCTCGCTTGATCTATACTGGAAAAAAGAAGCTTGTCGAGCTCTCAACGTTGTAATTATTCGTACATTTAAATATGCAAGCAAGAAAAATGGTACAAATACGGTAATGATGTTGCGAAAATAAAAGCGAAAAACTGTACCATATAACCAAGTAAAAACAAGTGGCGTTAAAACTGGTTCATATTCAGTTAGACCCGTACAATTTACATTATGTTGTAACTGAAATTTCATCTCCTATTTGATAATAGAAATTAAATTTTATAAAATATTTTAATCCAACAAATCTATTAATTTTATTTCAATTTTATTTTTTTTTAAGAGTCCTCACCATTACTGGTTAAACTCGCTCCACTGGCTTGTCGCATTGGGCAATATGCCAAGGAGTCCCTTGACGATAGAAATACAGGTGAGTCGCCAGCATTACCAGTATTTTTGTACAGGTTTATTCCTGCGGGGAATCGAATTTTATACTTCAAATACTTGGAACATATCAGTGGGAAATAATCTTTAAAAAAAAAAATATAGCTTATTTCAAAAATTTGGAAAATTAATTCTTGTAAATAATTCAAATTTGCAAATTTAATGGACAATAAATTTAATGGATAGACAATGGACTGCAACAACGATTTGTCGAAAATTATCGAAATTATCAAAAAAACTAAACCAAAGAACTGATAATATAGATGGAGATAGATGAATTATATTATCATTTAAGACAAAGAAGACAAAAAAAATGAAATCCAATTTTCATCGCTAAAAAAAAAGTTTATTATAAATGGATAATAATTTTCTAAAGGGATTTCAGAAGTACTATCACTTTTAGATTTAATATTTTTACTAATGTGATAATGTAGTAATGTAGAAAAAAATTTAGAAGGGTTAATCTCTTGGGGACTGCGAGGCTCATTTTTTTTTGTAAAGCACATTTTTTTGAAAAGCACATTTTTTGTAAATTTAATGCTTCGAAATTTTTTCTATATCGTTTTACAGATGGCACTTTTTTTCTAAGCCATGAAATCTAAAAGTCTAAAATCCAGAGAAATTTCAATGATTCAGTCAGAAATGCAGATAACTAACCCTGAAATAATAGTTACAGTTACTCACACATCATTCTTAGCAAGAATTTTTTATTAACCTTTCATAAAAAGAGAATATTCCTGGATTAACTAGATTATACATAAAATGAAATAGGCCGTGAAATATGAATATTATGCGACCAAAAATAATAGCTTCAGTGAAGCAAAAATTCTGAAAATTCCTTTCATTTTTGAAATCTTTAGTAAGTTTAAGTGGTCGACATTTCTAGTTAGGCTTGTTCCGCTAGCTTGTTGGAGCAAACGAATTTGACTAGGAAAGAGATTGCTGAAATTTAAACATGTCTCTCTCCTGTTGAGGATATCAGCATTGACGACCGAAACGAGAGTAACAATCTGCTAACCTGTTCTATTTCTTGGCTATTTAAAATGAATTTTTTCGACCTCTTTTTTCAAATTCCAACCCTTTAATTAATTAAATATTTAAAAAGAAATTTTCAATTTTCAATAAATTTTTTAAAAAAATTTTCTACGCGCTGAAAAAGTTTGAAAAATAATTTAGAGAGAAATTTACTTCAATTTCGAAGACGGCCGTTCCTCGAACAACAGCAGCGAAAAGAAACATAAGAATTGCTAGAAGACCGCGATTTCGTTGAAATTTCTTGAGAATTTTTGACTGTTGTGTGATTAAAAGTCTTTCAATCGTTGCAAGTGTGATAAGAAAACACGAAAATGTCATCGACGTATGGCACATCGCAAGCAGTGGTCCAACATAAAACCACCATAACCTGCTCAGCCACAATAACTAAAAAATTAGAATTAGCTTCTTAATACAACTATACTACACTATATTAAATGCTAAAAAGTCCAGAAAAACATCGGAAACTTTGTGTATCGAACTATCGAAAAATTAAAAGGAATTGGTCAAAAAAATTATCTAAATAGTTACCCTGAAATTAATTAATTTATTAAAGGAATAATCTTTCAATTTTCGTAGATTTTAGAAATAAAAAAAAAAGAGAATAATTGGAAAATAATTATAAATAACCTGAACTCTATTCTTGATTACATCCATCGCAATAACTGGACCGTAGCAAAACGAAAGAAAAATATCGCTGACTGATAATAAGCCAAGAAAGAAAAAATGCTTTCGGCGTCGTGTTAATAATGTCAGTGCGATTAAAAGATTAGTGAATAAACTTATAAGACTTAACGATGTGCCAACAACAGCCACGAGATACCACCTCAGATCATCGCTTTTGGGTAATTGACATTCATCATATAATTCCTGAATTTCCACGATTGAATTGTTCATATGTCATAAATCCTTAAAAAAATAAAAAAATTCATAAAATTTTTATTTCAATTATATTCATCAGAAACGAAAGTCTAAATAAAAAATTCATCGCGAATGATCAATAACGATTTTAAAAAATTACTACTATTATTAAATAGAAATAAATGAAGTGAAATTTGAAAAAAGGTTTTTAAAAAATCATTGTTGCCCATTATTTAACTGAAATATAAATGGTCAGCGCAAGAGTTTCCATTATTGTAGATTCGACTGCTTTGTTGACGCAAGTTGAAATCCGATTAGAACTGGAAAACTGCGTTTGATCACTTGAATTAGCAATCTAGTAAAGGAATCTTATCCGAACTAAGATTTTTCGAATGGCAATTTTGAATGAGCAGTAGAATTTCGTTAGTACTCTAATATTTTTTAATTCAGAATTTCGACTAAAAATACTAAAATTGCTTAATTTGTTGGTTTATCGCATAATAATTTATGCGCAATATATTCAATAATTACAACACTAAAAATAAAATAAGAATATATGATTATGTTTATAATGCTCAAAATAAGGAATCGGATGATAAATGATAAATGATGAAAAATAGATATGCCCAAATGATTTTTATTTTCAAAGGATATGCATCATTATCTTTCTCTCATTTTTCATAAAATCATTAATAGTTAATCGAAATTATCAATAAAATTAGTGATAGAAAAAAATTTATAAATTGTGTGGCCGATGCAAAATTAGATCACAAGTCTAAAAAGCAAATCAAAAAAGATATATTCGGACTATTATCATTTAAATTCAAGCCAATTCAAGCCAACAAAACACGATTAAGTCAGTAAACAATTCAAAATCAAAAAACAGCCAAATCACATCGCCAATAGCGAACAAATGAGTTGAGGAGGCAAGAATAATGGAACAATGGCTGCAAATAACAACCTTTGATGATTTAAGGAATTAACAGGAATTAATAGAGATCTGCTTGCAAGAGCCAAGAAGAATGAAGGCGCGAGCCGATATTTTATTTTGAAACTGCTAAAAAAAACACTATTAAAGAAATAGCTGATATTACTCAAAGAAGCTATTATCAAAAAAACTATTGCTATTTATCTAAAGAAGCTGTTTAATAAAATTTAACAGTTATTTATACTAAAAAAAATCCACAAAGGAATGGGATTACTCTGATCTTCATTTTCCACATTTTCTCTGGTTTTTTCAGCCCCTTCAGTATTTCTCTAGCTGTTCACATTCCTTCCTTCTTCCTACACTGTAAATATATATATATATATATATATATATTTGAATATCGACAGGATTTGAATCCCAGCACCAAATTCAATCTATTTAAAAAATCATTTTAGCCAACTAGAACCAAGTGTGTATAATCGAGCAGATGGCATTGTCCACAGTACATTTGCATGAGTATGGGCTCCCATAACCAGATGGAAAGGCCAATAAAAATAACATAACAGAATTTCATGGCCAAACGAAATACTGACCAATGAGACCACATGGTAATAGAAAAACCAGAATAGTGGATGTGGCAGATTTAGCAATGTCAACTGATAGTAATCAGGATCGAGGAAGAAATATGAGAAGCTAGACAAAAACCTGGAGTTGAAAATGAAAAGTAAAAGCCAAAGTAACTCCAGCGATTGCGTGAGCTGTGGCCGTTGGAAAAGTGTCTCTCCAGCAGACTCCAAATCATTTCAATAATTTCTGCCCAGAGAAGTGCACTGCTTTGAATAGTTGAATAACTAAAAAGAATAGTTGAGAACACTGTGCAGAACCGTAAAATTTCCGAAGTTGAGGAAGCACCTATGGTTGAAAATTTAAGGAAAACCCATTCCCTCTGAAGAGGGGTAAATTTTTTTTGCAGGATTTGCTGATAATTACCCTGCAAAAATAACTTGTTGCATGTATTTCATGTAACATTTATCCTATATTTTTCTTATATATTTATATTTTTTTTCTTTTTTGAGGAATATTTACTTAAAAATCATTAAAATTTTTTTTCTTTTTTCTGAAATTTCATTATAAAGTATTTTTCCTTTAAAATTTCTTTTTTTCCCTTTTTTCTTTCTATTATAATAGTTCTTTAGTTTTTTTATTGTAATAGTCTAGTTTTTTATTAATGCAAATTATGCAAAGTTAACTAAAATATTTTAAAAAATTCCAAAATTTTGCTATTTACCATTTAAAAGACATTTCAAAAAGCATTTGACGCCATATAACCTTTTCACCTTTCAACAACACGTAGTATTTATGGTTCGACTGAACCCTATAAGTATTAAACAGGTATTATTAAACAAGTATAATGAAAAACTGAATCGTCTGTATCGCTAAACCCTTCGTTACATTTGAGAAAATCTATCAAATATTTACTATTAAAAAATACAACATTGAATGCTGAAGCAACTTTAAGAATTTAGTAAATCAATTAATTTATATTTTAACTAGCAATCATTTCGAAATAGATGGCTTTTAGTACCATCCGTATTGCATTGTTAATGGCACCGCTAACGAAAGGAAATGAAACGTATGGTGCATTAGCAAAAGCAAAATTTTTTTAGAGAGAATTTTTCTATATATGCCAGGTAGCCTCTTTGCGATAGAAGTACAGATGAGTCGCTGACTTGGATTTACTTCTGCTGAGAATCGGATTTCAGCATGGACAGTCCAATTAAGCAACAACCCACTGAGCCATTCTACTCTATTTTGCTCTTTCCGGAACTGTCGAAGAGTGGGGCACCGTTGGATTCGAATCCCCATACCTCGATTCTGCCACTGAGGCACCAACATACCGCAGAATCAACAAGTTGTTTGCAAAAAATAATTGAGAAAATTGCAATTCGAAAGAGAATTATAAACCATAAATTAAATAATTAATTTAACAAAATTAATTTGGATTCCAAATCGATTGGCAAGAATACTAAATTTATAATAAATTAATCCAAAAAACCATTTTTTTTCGTGCAAATTCCCGTGGATATTTGCGATGAAAACTTCGATGTTTTTGTCCATCCAAATCCTTAAGCTCATTTTAAACATTGTTGAACATTGTTCGATGCACGAATGAATGCTTTGAGTTGCAAAAAAGTACTAAAAATACAATTATTTCCTTAATTGGTGCAACAAATCGCCTATTTTTTTTAGCATTTTTTTGTTTGCAAATTCGTAAATAAATTTCATTTTTTATGATTTAAAAAAATAAATTCGCAATTTTTGATTTTTATAAATAATTTTAAAGCAATTTGCCATTTTAAACAATTTTAAAAACATTGTTCGATATTGAAATATGGAAAAATAAAAATTTCTTTTAAAACCACCACATAAAAATCTATTTGCTGTAACCCACTTTTACTTCTAATCGCCAATTTACTACCCAACAAAAATTTCTAGCAGTAATATCAGATCAATCTTAATCGGAGATGGCCCATTACTACTAAATACTACCACCTATTTTTTATTAATTGATTTAGCCAATATCAGTTTCTGAGAGGACTCATCTTTGCTGATCTCGCTCCATTGATTTGCCAAGTCAGATAGATCGCTTCAGGGAGTTATTTGGCAATAGAAATAAGGTGAATTATTCTATTACTCGGATTTTTACGCTTATGGCAGGTCGTGGGCAGTCTGATCTAATTCAAACTTGAGCTATTCTCCACTAAATCACCATTTAAATTTTTACTAAATTCATTTCAAATGAGTTTTTCTAAAAAATTAAGAAATAAAAAATTTCTAAATTCATGAAAAGCTCGAACTACAAGAGACATCAATCAAATTTAATTATTCATGGAGATAAAACTTATAACACAGAAGCTTAGAAAGGAACAATGTTAATGACAAATTATAGAAGCGAGCCTTCACATTTCTAATAAAATCTAAATACGATTCGCAAAGAATCACAATACATGAACAATAACAATAACAAAGTTTTCTTCCCGATCTCTTTATCAAAGTAAATCTATCATTAAAATTCGTGTGTCGGTGTTCTGAGGGTCGATTAGTATCCCCCTATCACCAAATAACACTTTGACTGAAAGCCAAACAACTAAATTTTGAGTTGAATAAGTAATCATCACTCATCATTATAGAAATACCGTTTAAGAATAGACAAAATTTTTTAAAGCATTGAAAATTTTCATTCCAGCAAATTTTTGCATTTTCGTAAGTTCGAAAATAATTATACCTAAGGATCAATATTTTGTGCCCATCAATTTTTTTAGCCAACAAAACATTTTTTTTCATTCAGTTGCCTTGCTAACACTAATTGCCTCTCTTGTTTTCCTTATTACGTGATTTGCATTAATTGGGCTATTTAGCAGAATGCCAAAGCGGATTTAGATTTACAATTTACAATTTTTAACCGATTAATTTTTGAAATTTATAGAAATATATATATCGTATAGAATGGCTCAGTGGGTTGTTGCTCAATTCTATTCTCCGCATGAATAAATCTGTCCAAAAATCCGGGTGGTGCAGGCGACTCACCTGTACTTCTATCGCCAATGGACTCCCTGGCATATTTGTCTAGTGCGACAAGCCAGCGGAGCAAGTTCAAGTAATGGTGTGGACTTTTAAAAAAATATATATATATATAAAATCAACAATTCATACGAATTTTTCAAATGGAAAAAAGTTGAATCTTTGAAAAAAAATCAGAACTTGCCGAAGCTTACAACTTAAATACCTATTGGTCTCACAAAAAAGGCTGAAGAGTTCTTATTGAAACTAAGTTAAAAATAACTTAATTAAGACAATAGAAAGGAAATACTTGATCATTACAAGTGCATGCAATATATGTTTATAGAATGGAAAAAAATTTATGAAATTCGATTCCTAGTTAAGAAATGGATATGCAAAATCATATCATATGTTGTTGATTGTTGTGATGATGCTGAGGATTCCATCGCTTTTTCCAAATAACTCGCTAAGATCTCACTCGCCTAATTCGCGAAACCAGTATAACAGAAAAGAAACCATTTTCCAGAAAATTTTTTTAAAAAAATTA